CGCATGTATATGTCCTCATTATGAGTCTATATGGTGGCACGTGGACTTACAGAGTGAACAAGGGTTAATGCAAGTTTCCTGTTGCATTGGACTAAATGTAAATTGCTGTTTATTTATACATGCCTGCAGGAGACAATTCTCACATACGTGTTTCCGTCACGATAGTTGCCTGCTATGTGTTGGCAGTGGTTTTATTAAGGTTGGGATTCAAGCTATGTTTACTGTTAAAAAATGGCCATATCCAACTAAAATACATTCAAGCAAAATCGACCATGTTTATGGATTTAGCCATGTTATACAAAAATGCTGATGTTTGTTAAGGTCCACATGAGGTGTCCACGTTGGCAGTACAAACCAATACAACACAATTAATAATGGAGGTGTGCGGGCTAATTTCTTGAGTACAGTGTTTTTCAAATGTTTTTAATATCTAATGAACAGGTGTTATATATGTGTGTATATAGCAAATAGAAAGAACGATGGAGACTTGACCACAGGGGGACACAAAACATTCAGGATCACTTTGTTTTTGTATTAAACGTCTCCTTCTAAGTTGTCTATACACAACTATAGGAAGGCGGGTGATATTTGCATTCTGATTTAATTTCACTAATTCTGACTGCAGTTAACAGAAACACACTGTGACACCCTATGGCAACTTTCCACAAGTCAAAAACGACTTCAGAGCCTGGTTCAAAAGACTCTTGGATCACTGCTAAGTTACCCATGCTTGTCAATGCTGAGTGTTTTTTCAACTTTTTTTCATTTTTATTTTGCAGCTGTGTATTTATTAAAGTTTGCCATGTTTTGTGCCGCTGCAGATCTGACATGGTGACGTGACACTCACCACTACAGCACTTCCAGTCGTGTGTGTGTGATCGTTGCACGAATTGCCCTGCTAGCCGCATGTGTATGGGCTCTTGATAGACGTTTTTTTTTTCTTAGTTTTTTTCAACTTGTCCAGCATCCATGGTATCACTTTAAATGAGAAGAATAGGCCACACACTGTCCTAATATGATAATCTGTTTTGGCATAGATATTTTTATTTTTTGTTGTCATTAAAAATAACAGTTTTTTTCCTTTGTAATGTAAACACACAACTAACTTTTAACGCATAGATAGCGGAATACTGAAACAGGAGATATTTCACCCTGCATGTTGCGCCTTCTTATAATTAACGCTAGTATGAGCCGCCTGCATGTGTGAGTAGCCGGAGGATAAGCTCTTACACGGACTTTGGGTACGGAAAATGGACCACTCAGAGACCTGGTAATTCTACAAATAAGCTTCAACGTGCATGAAATAATAGGGTTGGAAACTCTTCACTTTGTGACTTTGGCAAATGAAAACTTATCTCTACAGTTGGGGAAAGATGAAAAAATTGGCCACAAAGGATTTCTCTGTTTGAGGATTAACGTTAAATCCCATATTGCACCTTTTAAAACCTGTCGCCATACACTATTTCTCTCTTGTTTCAACATTTGTATTTATCTTGTGTCATTCTATTACTGCCAGATAATAAGGTCACTAAAACACTGACCTTATGTTGACAGTTTCTTCCTGCTCTCATGTGTTGCCTTGGAAACGAGCATCCAATGGGAGCATAGATAAAAGTAAAAGCTGTAAAATGAATCATCCGTGTATCACAGATTGACAAAAGAAAGGTTTTAGTACAAACAGTGGGAGTGACGATGGCTGATCAGGGGAGTAATGGCAAGAATGGCAAAAACATCAAAAGTGTGTAAATAAGGGAAAACAACTATAACGTGGTACATTGTTTTATCTGTTTTATTTTTTTATTTTTTTGTTATAGTTGTATTTTTAAATTGGATACCTGGCATTTTATTTTTTATTTATTGATTTATTTAATTTTATTTATTTATTTTAGATGTAAAGCAGGCAAACCTGTAAATTTAAATGTGATACTTTTATCTGTGCAGCACTTAGGAAACTTGTTTTATAAAATGTGCTATATACTGTAAATAAAGTGGATTGTGTTCCCTTTTATAGATATTTTGAAACTGATTTTACTTAACTAATTACTTAAAGTGATTGTCTGCAGTTTGTCAGAAAGAGAGAGAGAGAGAGGTACAGTATTTGAAAAAACGACGCAAGCTCCCTCCCCCTTCCTTTCTGATTGGTCTACGCCTACGTTTCCGTAACACTTTTAAATGTTAATCAGAGAACACATTATACTTATACATTATTAATACACATGCACGGAGGTTTTCAGAATTATTTGTTAACGTTTTCATGAAAAAAATAGTGTTTTAATGCACGAAAAAGCGATTACGGTAAACCCGGAAGTAGCTATTATAACACATCTGCAGAGGATCTGATTATGGATATAGGTTCAGTATATAAATGATTATGGATATAGGTTCAGTATATAAATGATTATGGATATAGGTTCAGTATATAAATGGGTAACTCAGCGCGGATGTTCAGAATTCTTTGTTCAGTTTTCATGTAGTTCCAGAGCCTATAAAGGCTTGATTCGGAGGCTCCGTGAAAACAAACAACTGAGCATGCGTGCAGCTAAGAGCATCAGTTCAGCGCTGATGATTGACAGCCCTTGGCATCACTTGATTGGTTAACGTGGACGGCATTGTGGATTCTGAGATATAGCTAAGAGAAGCGAAGGCGGGACTTACCTGTAATTGTAGAATTAATAAAATTACTTATTTTATATCAACATTTAAGGCCGGGAGGTCAATTTAATACAATTCTTAAAATTTGTAATTCATTTAGAGTTACAGTCTATCACTTTAAGACATGATATTGTATAGAGAACTTCAAAGAGAAACTCTGCCATCACTGCCTGAGGTTTGTGCTTTATACTGAGCAGCGCTGATGTGTTTTTACTGCAGACTATCAATACCGCGAGGATAGGCTTTCTGAAGGTATTAACTTTATTTCATTGAGTTTGTTCCAAAAGCAGTCCTCTTTATAAGCTTGAGAAACGCTAGCTATTTTGGTCATGATATTGGTCTATCATTCACTCTACAAATAATGTCAAAACAGTATGAGACAGTGTAGGACGGTGACAAAAATGGAAAGATCAAAAAAGTCGTAATCCCAATGTTAGTAGAAAGTTGATGTGAATTCAAAAGAATCGGATAATGTGGGAATAACATTGCGAGTGCTGAAAAGATACAAGCCAGGAAACAGCCAGGTGGACAAAAAGCAGGGGTTTTTGCCTCTACTCACTCATTTGTCCCAAGTTTGTTTATTAAAAATATATAAAATGTGCTTGTTTTCTCAGTTATTTTGGGTTTTTTCAGTTTAAAAAATCAAATAAGAAATCAAGATCAGTCTAAGATCTGGGAAGAAGAAGAATATTTTTTTCTTCCCAGAGTGTGCAGCCCGTGTCTGAGGTCTTTTGAATAATGTAGGCCTTTCCGATCCTGTTATACTTTTTGTTTTACTCTGAACTACTTTGCGTTTTCCTCTCATCTGTGCACGGATCAAGCAGGTGCAACTGAAAAGAAATACACAACTCTGCCATACACAGGTGAAACTCCAAAAATTACAATATCATTTAAAAGTCCCTTTACTTCTGTAATCTTACAGTGTGAAACTACTATATGACAGACTGACACGCAAACATATACAGCCTTTTTTTGTTACAATCAAAGACCTCATATTAGGAATGGACTGATCAATTGCTGACGTCACATATGAGCCTTAATGCGAAAGAAGCCGAGTTAAACACAAGCTAGCCTGAGACATTTCCCTATATGGGCATTTACTGTATTTCGACGGCGTTAGCACCATAACAGGAGTGTTGCTAAGACGGTTGCTAAGGAAAGCTTGAGTTTCCCCTGCAAATATAGGAATCTGATGGGTCAAACCTCATTTCAGGATTTCCACAGACAATATCAACATATAAACACAAGGATCATTGAAACCGTCAAACCATGCATTATTTTAAACCCCAAAATGATGAGTTAGACACAAACTGAGCTAGAGGAGTTTAAGATAAGATCTCACAATGGAGAAATTTACCAGTTTACTTTTACAAGTCAATAGGAGCCAGATTTGGAGCAAACCTTTGTCCACTAGAACTTCCCTATTGAGCTTCATTGAGCTTGGGGGGCAGAATTGTCCATCTATATTCAATAGTCTATGGTTATAATATTGATAATCGCTCTGTAAAAAATATAAAGAAAACAACCCTTGGAAAATCAGAATATTTAGGATATATTATATGAAAAAAAGGCTTGGCATATGTCAGGTTTTGATATATGCCAGTTGAATTACAGAAATGATTGAATTTCTGAACGATATTCCAATTTTCCGAGTTTCCCCTGCATTTAAATTGTGATAATGTTGGTCACAATTATCATAGTGTGTAAATGCAGTTCCATCTCTACAGGCACAACTGCTCTTTGTCATTTTATTTTTGTGGTTCAATCCCTGTAGCCCGCTGCCTGAACTAAAGTGGGTGGGCAAGTGGGCTCCCAGAGTAGAGTGTTAGTTGCGACAGGTCCGCTCTTGTTTTCTGTATCTACAATAAAGGATGTTGGCTTGTAAACCACACGCAGCTAAGCCCTGCAAAAAGTGATGTTGATGCTGGAGACAAATCTGAACTATCTGTAATATGAAAGCTTCTCGCTGCTGGAAATTCAATTTTCGGCGATCGCTATCTTGCCTTACTCACTGCACAATCAGGCAGACATGGGGGTGACACTTTTTTATTTAAGTTATGAGCCTCGAGGTTTCGTACTAAACTGGAGTTAATGCAGCCTAACCTTGCACTTGTCATTGAGGATGCCAAACTGTGTCAGCGCACCCATTGATTTGAGTGCTTTATTCGGAGCGGTTTACATGAATTGGAAAGTATATCACTGCTCCACTTTGTAACACCTGTTCCTCCGCTGGTTTGGGCTCTTTCTTCAGCGTGATCTATGCATCTGCAGACTGCTGCTGCTGTCTTTGTGTTGTTCCAGGGCATTGGCTGTGATTAATGCGTCTGTCTATGTCTTTTTCTATTCAGCTCGTGGGCTTCATCTACGCCTGCTATGTGGTCAAGCTCATCTCAGAGGAAGAAGACAGCTGTAAGTGCCCACCACACGTCTACAAAAACACATATTATTATCATTATCTATCACATACAGGTGAAAATCGGAAAATTAACATAATGTTCAAAAGCCCATTCATTTTTGTAGTTCAACTTACAATGATCATTCATTCATGATCTTATGAATTCATGGTTTTGCCAAAGGGAGGGAGTGCTTTAGATTTATTTATTAAGATGATTACTTTACATAGATTCAGTGTGAATGAAATTAGTTCATTACTTAGTTAGTGCTGCAAGAAAGTAACCAACTAAAGTTACATTACTTTTGGATTACTTTGTGTCACAAAAATGAATAATGTTTGTACATTTGCTTTACTAAAGTAATTTAAATAAAGGTCAACTACAAATAATTTGTTCAAAACTGGCTTTACCAATGTTTTTCTGTCACTTGTGCTGTTTCTCAGAGTTTCACATTGCGGTGCCGGTTTGATAGGTGCTCACTCAGGTTTGATGTGGAGTTCTTCGCTGTCGATAGTATTTTTCTTCCCACGCAGAGTTCACAGCGGACGCTGAGATTTCTGTTTTCACTTTTTTTCCGCCTCAAACTTAAAGTAGCCGGTATCTCCATGAATGAAATTCTCCGTGGTCGTCCCATGGTGCTCCATGTTGGTGCTTGTAATGTTTGATGTGGGCGTGTCTGTTTATAACGTGGCAGTGGTCGCAGCTCTCACACGTCATTCATTTGTCACTCACAATGAGACGACAAAAGTCACAACCAAGTGACTCATGGTGTTGTAACACAGTTTAACGCTGCTTGCTTAGAAGGAAGTAAATGTAATAATTACAATACATTACATTTACAGAAAAAAGTAGTAGGATTTCAGTTACTTTAATCACGTTGCTGACCAACACTGCATACTACACTACAGGCTTATATGTACATTAATATTACTGATTATTTATTGATCTTTATTATATCTAGAATACCCTCTCCTGACCCCAGATTGGGGTTGGAGAGGGTAATACAGGAGACTATTGTACATGTTTTTAGTGATTGGGGAAACCAGAGCACTAATAGGAAACCTACGCAAACACAGGGAGAACATGCAAACTTCATACTGAAAGCCCCTGCCTGGAGGGGGAATCAAACCCAGAACCTTGTTACTAAGAAGTACAAGCACAAACCACCGCACCCTTCAAAAATATATGTCCCAATAAAAAATGAAATACAATTGAATTTGCTGGTATCACCTTTTAAACAATGGTTTCCCCGATCATTTGGTGGATCACTTTTTGAGTCGCTACATCTACCTGAAGAATCTACCTCGTTGGGACATCTCCATTCCTTGGCTTTAGGCACTTCTACCATCAAGCTGCATCTCTCATATTTGTTAAAGGCCTACAATTAAAAAACAAATGTGTTATTAGTGCTCCTACTTCTTAGACAATCACAAAAAGACAAAAATTACTTTCTTCAAAGAGTGAACATTATAGCGATTAAGAAGAGCACTCTAGCTTTAGCTTCAGTCAGGACAGGGGCTGCTGACATCGGCTACAGCTGAACTAGAGCTGTTGACTTTAGGTTTAGCCAGCAGTCAATTTGGAGAACAGTTTGTAAAGTGATTTTGGGGCGGGTGTGCGTTGTGAGGTGTGCAAAATGAAACGTCTGGACAAAATCAAATCTGTTCCTGAGTTTTCTGCTCCTTTCCTTTCCGACCGTCTCCTGGTGTCCTTTTAGCGTCTGTCTCATGATGACGGAGCGACTGTGAATGAAGCCATTTCTGAGGCAGGGCCATGACTGACAGCGAGACAGCTTCAGAAACCCGACATGGATCTTTGGAAATTACCCCAAAAGAGAGAGGACGTGCTTTAAGAGAGGCGCTGAGTCATGGCTGGATACCTCTGGCTGAAATTGGAATTTTGCATGTTAAGATATAGAAGGTTGTATTTCTGTCAAATGGTTTAATAAGTATTTTTTGAAAAGCTGTCATGGAAAATATGTGCTTGAGGTGTGTTCTGTTTGTCCAACTAAAATGATCTAGTATTAAATATAAATGTTACGCTTTGAGCTATTTTCTATTTGAAAACATTTTTGTCCAAGGCAACAAAAAGTGCCAGAATTGCCAGAGGTGGGAAGTTGCGGCGAGTAAAAACAAGCCATAAAACATATAGTAGCTGTCTTTTCCTTCCAGAATTAAAAATGCTGAACTAAATGAATAGCAATAGTTCAGAATTAACAGTGAAATATTGTGTACACTTAAAGGGGAAACTAAGATTAGAATATTGTTCAAAAGTCCATTTATGATAGACACAAAATGAGATATTCCCATAATGTTGAGAATTGGCTCACAGCTTAACCTCGACTATAACATCTACAACAATTAGAATATTTTGACAATGAACAAAAAGCCATAATCATCAAATTCATTACATACAGTGACATATGACAAGCTTTTGTTTGTTTTGAGTCTATATTTTCCAAGATCTCAACTCTGCTGGAGAATCACTGTGAATATTGGTCCGAACCCTTACTGCCATTGTTCTTATTTAGCCACCTGCCCCTAAAGTGTATTATTGATTTATTGATTTGATTTATTATTACACTGGGTAACAAAAAAATATTTTTTGAAAATAGTCCAGGGTTTTCCAGCTGAATTAGATAAATTTTGATGCTCTGAGTCCGAAAATGACCTTGGTTTTGCTCAATCAGGTCAGGATTTTTTGCTACAGAAATATTTTTTTTAATCGATTTTGCGTAAAAAACTAATTTCTGCGGATCATCAGCTGAGAAACCCTTGACGTTTTTTTCGTTTTCCTCAAGAAATAAAAGTCAACGTATCCAAAGTCATTCAGTTTTTATTTACTTATTTGATAAGCAGAATTCATAATAACGTAGACGTACGTAATCCGTAACACTATGACTGTATCTCTAAAAGTTGACCTGATAGAGCGAAATGCATGTGATATTCGGACTCAGAACACCAAAATTAGTCTAAATCAGTTGAGAAACCCCTGACCATTTTTTGGCTGTCAATTTATGTTATTATCACACTTTATCTGTGATTTTACAGCTAAAGCTAAAGAAGCAGTTAAAGCTATTTATCTATGCGTATGTGTATTTGTGTGTGTACTGTGTGCTGTGCGTACTGGAATCTGAAAAGGACTAGGCTCTTTCTGTAATTTTTAGTTGTTGCCAATCAACCAAGCCAGTTTTTTTTACAAATCAAGTTCAGAGATTGATAATGTGTTTTTATTGATTCAAATATTAGCGACGGAACAAGATGTAACTGTAACAAGAGGAGGCACAAGATTGATTTTGCACACAAATAAGAAGGATATTTGTAGCACTTTAGTCCTATGAGTTCCGGCACGTCCGATTGTCCCATCCCTGTGTAAGCCATAGATCTAAACAACTCTTGATAAAATGAGTAAAACCAATGTGATAACCTTGTACTTATTGCCACGGCTCTGTCAGCATTAACATGATGGAGATGTGCACCTGGGGCCATGACTTGAGTTATTCCATTAAAGCCTAGACTAGACCATCACAGCGATCAATATCTAAGCATGTCTTATTCAGCACGGGAATCAGCATGCAGTTTCCCCACGCATTAATATTGATAGCTTATAAATGCATTCTGGATCCAGGGAATGAGACACAGCGGTCACAAGTGTGTCTGTCTGGCTAAATATAGATACAATATATAATTCAATATATATAATGGAGAAGAAAAACATGACACATAGCGACTCGCCAACTTGTTATAGCATTGATCCCACTGCAGAAATATCCCGAAATTGATTTTTTCTTCAAATCTCTATTTCAACAATCGAGAGGGGGGATTCGGTCCATCCCACTTCAGCTGATTTTAAAAGGTCTGAATGTCGATTTTTCAATTTTAAATGACATAGGCATCTTTTATATGTTACAAGATAATAGGTCAACATGTACAAACAACGTTTGACCTTTTTCCTTTGGAGTTACAGTTTTCAAGGAGATTATCCAATCAGAGAGCAGAATGGAGCGCTCATTTGGGTTGGCAGTTTGTATGGTGAAATTTGTCTGGTCTTGCGCTTTTTTATTTACAAATAGTACCACAAATTTGTTTAAATAAAAGCAGATGGACCCCAGCCGGTGGATTTGCAGTAATCAGTGTTTAAGGTTCTGGCAACAAAAGTGTGATTGTAATTATAATGACTTTTTAGACCAAGAGTGCATCATTCATACGGTCCCTTTAACAGGACCTCATTCCTACACACATTCTTGTGGTAAGTTGTAAAATATGAAATGTTAAACGCAGCTACATGAAAACAAAGAAAATAATAGAATATTCCATAAAAATGTAGACTTAATATTTGTTATAAGTGTCAAAAGTAATGTTTTTCTAATTACTATCTTCGACTTCTTGTCAATAGCGGTAAATGTGAGAGAATTTGCTCAAAACTGGCTTCAACAATATTTTTTTTTACTGTACAAAACTGGATTTGGCTTTTACTAACTGAAAAAAGCCAAATTCCCATGTCTTTCACTCCGTATTTTCTATGCGTTCTTTCATATTCTGTAGTGATTTTGTAGTTGCTAACATCATATGATTTCCCTTCAGTGGTTTTTTATGTCCGCTTACAAATATTTTAGGTTTCTGCCCTTAGGATCCTGTGTAACTACGCAATAAATATGTCATCTTTAAAACCCATTTCATCGCATACATTATAGAACACAGATCTGTTGCACTTATGGCACTCCTACTACTCGCCTAAAGGAACGAAGACAATAACCAATAAATGATTTGCAATGTAAGCGTACGTTAATCGCTATCGAACGCGCAGTTTAAAGTTTGTGTGCCGCTAATGAGCATATCCATTAGTAATGAAGACGTGCACAAGTCCTTTTGAGTGACCATTAAGATAAAACATACCTGCAGGCTCGCAATTTGGCAGGCATTGCAACGCCGTGTCCAATTATCTGCCTAATTAACACTACAATAGATGAAAAGTAAAGACAATTTGAGTCCTTGTAATCTGGCCACAAACATCAAA